TGACGGCGAAGTCAGATTAATATTGCCAAATAAAAGTTTTTGAGCTCAGGATGGAGAGAATCTCCATTCGCACATCTAATTGAATCATCATACTCGCCGTTTCGAGCTCAAAGAAAACACCAAATCAGTCATAAACAATAAAACAATATTAAGAACGATAATGAAGATACAAGAGAAAGTTTCAGCCCTAGACAAATAGAAGAAAAAAAAACCCCTAAATTGCAAAACAGTTCTGGTCTTTCGATAAACCCTAGAAGACGGCTACACCATAAGGGATTAGTGAAGTAACGCGACGATATGATATATATATACACTACACGCATGTAAAGCCCTATTGATTATTACGCTTCTACCCTTATGGATCTCAATGTTAGTCCATGGGCTTTCTTCTTGATCCATAAGATCATGTTGTCATTCCAAAAACGAAATGTTAAATAAGAACTACACTTTATTTTTGGCAGAAGACAAAATACTCATGAAGCCTTAATAGTGATGGTGCTTTGGAGTACCGTCTCTTTCGAGCATGTGTCTCTTAAGTTTTGGATTTTAGCATTCATGTCTACTCAATGTCAATTGGCAATGTAGAGAACAACTCGTACCCAATATATAGTAGAATAGATCTCTTAATATCACCGATGTGGGATCAATGATTAGTTACTAATTCAAATTGTTGACCGACATTTACAAATAACAAAACCTTAAATTAATTTGTCTTTGGTCGTTTTTATGCTTTCGGTTTGCTGGTTAGAGAAGAAGTGAAACCATGATCTATAACATTTTACATAATCCTATGAACAAATGTGATTAGATGGATGGAAACTATGCTAATTGGTTTTGTATCAATCCAAAATTCATAAGATGAGATTGAAGAGGGGTGTATCGAAAATTGAACATGTTAAGCTACAACTTTTTTACTTGTTTCAAGAAAGGAAAACTTAGCGGGAACACAAAGTATCACACATTCAAGATGATGAATATAACTTTTTTACAGACATTAACTGATGATACAAAGCTTTACAAAAGAAAGAGAAGAGAAGAACACAAGTTTCCTCAAATCATTTTTTATCGGGCTCATAATAACATCATCTTCTTTAATCTTAACTCTCTCTTTCTCATGCGAATCCAATTAGTAGACTACCCAACAAGAACTTCTCTGTTACCAGTCATCATCGAGGCTAGCCCGGTGAAAACACATGACGGTGCAAATGAATATGAAGAACGATGTGAATTCTATGAACATTGCACCGGTCTCGATCATTTGTGCATGCCTTAATATGATTGGAATAGCAAGACTTCCCACGGTCGATGCTCCTGTCAAGAACTTAGCTGCATCTATCCACCTGCATTTTTAAGAACGAGCAAATTTGGTAAGATGTTTTGTAATGTGAAGTAGCAGTCAAGTCTCTAGTAAGTAGTAACTAACCCTCCACCGTCTCGACTAATTAAGAATTGGGTTGAGCCTCCTCCAAAGAACATACAAGGCATAGGCACAACCACATACATGAGTGCTGATAGCATTGGCCACCAGTTACTATATATCGCACATGCCTGACCAATAGAAACAAACAGTTATCGCTATATCTCAGATCAACTAATGTTACTCACTGAATGATACAATGTGGTACAAGAAGTGAATCACGAGATATATGATAAACTTATATGTACATCTGATGATCCTTAATTCTTTACATTGAATTGCAATAAAAACAAACTAGACCTAACTAAGGACCTGATACGAGTTGAAAAAGAGAAGATGCTCGAGTTTGGAAAAGTAGTTCAGAAAGTCTTAAGTCATTATCATGTTAAGACATTGAGTTAGCATCTGCTCAGCTATTGATCAATAGCTATTGTAGAACTCGGAATATGGTTGCTGATGAATTTCCAGCTTATTAGCAATTTAGCATATACTATCCTCTAGGTCGGTGGTTAGGTGATAAGGATAAGGATTCTAAATGTTATTGTGGTTTTGGATGGTTTTTGGAGTCTCTAGCTCGTTAATCTACACACAAATGCGTAAGCTCAAAACTTTGATATATGCAGAAGCTTCAAAATGATGCAAAATTTTACTGCACAAATCTGCTTGGGACACCAACCAGTGGGACAAAAAGACACCGCCGCCTATACTCAGCTCGCAAGTTCACAGCAGAATTAGCTTTACCATTGACAATAACATGTGACAGGAAATCACACAAGTAATCAAAACAAACATGTTCATATGAAAAGAATGATCCGAGTCTTATCTAAAGCTAATAAGTCAAGAAGATTATGAGCAAGCACAACTTATGATCAAACTTAAAAGAGTTATAAAGCAGACTGCTATACTTAACCGTACCAGGATCTGTAGGAGGATACTAGATGAAAACATGAAAGCAAGTCCAGCAAGTCTGTGTATCAAGAAAAACAAATCAGTAAGATCACAAGAATACACTCAGATGTAACAAAAGAGTAATATAAGAGCTTCAAGTCTTAAACTTACACTGTACCAAAGCAGCAATTTTGAGCATTCCAGAAGAAATCCGCATCGGGAAAATGAAAGGAAAAATAGCAAACAATGAGTGAGTTTGAGCAATTTCAAAACCCAGAAACCTCAAGTTCACAGAATTACCAAATCAGACAACCCTAAAAACCGCAATCTAAGGTAAATCAAGACTCAAACGCATGAGTAAACACCACCAATAGCGTCGGGAGACTATATATCTAAACGTACGGAAGATATGAGCATGAAGCAAGGAGAAATGGAGAAGGAGGCGAATCCACTCGTATCTGATTCGATTCCGTAAGGACAAAATGGATACAAGAGAAAGAGAAGTGGAATTACCTTCGATGGTCATCGCCATGTCGGCGACTGGAAATTTCTGATTACCGGAGATCGACTCTTGACCGATTCGCCAGTGACCGTAGAGAGGAGGCGATGATTTCTTTGTTACG